TGCTAAACTTTGAGTTTCAAACCTGATTTATGTGGATCATTTTATTGAATTCTACAACACATGGCACGAGTGTTTGTGTTTAAAAACTCGAGAATAAAAAAAGACAACATTTTTTTAAAGAGTATGTTTTTTTTCGCCGTGTTTGCAAAAAAATCGGTTTTAGTGGGTCGGAAAGTCCATCGAAATCGATTTAAGTCGATTTTTTTGTACACTTTAATCGATTCAAATTTTTCAAAAAGATTTTTTTTAATCGATTTAAAATACATTTAAATTCGTAAATTGTACATGGTTAATCGATTTGGATTATTTTCTTAAGAGTTTTTTACCGTGTTAGCAAAAAAAAATGATTTTAAGGAATCTGAAAACCCATCCAAATCGATTTAAATTGATTTTAAAGAGACCTAAATCGATTCAAATTTTTCAAATAAGATCAATTAGAATCGATTCAAAATAGATTTAAGTGCGTTTCCGATGGATTATAAGAGAAGGAAAGTTTAGAATCGATTCAAAATAGATTTATGTGCATTTCCGATGGATTATAAGGAGAAGGAATTTAAATCGATATAAAATCCATTAAAGATCGTAAAACATACATTCCCGCACTGACAAAAATGGATTAAGATCCATTTTAGTATGAAAAATTGATTTAAGTGAGATTTGCAAGAATTTTAGTGAGTCGCAAAATCCATCGAAATCGATTTAAATCGATTTTTTAGACACTTAAATCGATTTGAATTTTTCAAAACTATCGATTTAAATCGATTTAAAATCCTTTTAAGCACGTAAATTGTACATGGTTAATCAATTTGGATCGATTTAAAATCCATTTAAATTCAATTCAAATCAACTGGAAATCATTTCTGTCAGTGCGGGCAACTATTTTTACTTAAGAGTTTTTAACCGTGTTAGCAAAAAAATGAATTTGAGGTGTCTGAAAATCCATCCAAATCGATTTAAATTGATTTTAAAGAGACTCAAATCGATTCCAAATTTTCAAATAAGATCGATTTGAATCGATTAAAAATGGATTTAAGTGTGTTTCCGATGGATTATAAGAAGAAGGAAAATCCATCCAAATCGACTTAAATCGACTTTTTAGACACTTGAATTGATCTAAAGTTTTCAAAAAAGATCAGTTTAAATCGATATAAAGTCAATTAAAGATCGTGAAACATACATTCCCGCACTGACAAAAATGGATTAAGATCCATTTAGTATGAAAAATTGATTTAAGTGAGATTTGCATGAATTTTAGTGAGTCGAAAAATCCATCGAAATCGATTCAAATCGATTTTTAGACACTTACATCGATTTGAAATTTTCAAAAAACATCGATTTAAATCGATTTAAAATCCTTTTAAGTTCGTAAATTGTGCATGATTAATCGAATTGGATCAATTTAAAATCGATTTAAATTCAATTTAAATTAACCGGAAATCATTTCTGTCAGTGCGGGCAACTATTTTTACTTATGAGTTTTTTACCGTGTTAGCAAAAAAAATGAATTTAAGGAGTCTGAAAATCCTTCCAAATCGATTTAAATTGAATTTAAAAAGACTCAAATCGATTCCAATTTTTTAAATAAGATTGATTTGAATCAATTAAAAATGGAATTAAGTGCCTTTCCGATGGATTATAAGAAGAAAGAAAATCCATCCAAATCGACTTAAATCGACTTTTTAGACTCTTGAATTGATCCAAAGTTTTCAAAAAAGATCAGTTTAAATCGATATAAAGTCAATTAAAGATCGTGAAACATACATTCCCGCACTGACAAAAATGGATTAGAATCGATTTTTGTATGAAAAAAGTACGTTGATTAAATTTAGGTCAATTTCAGAATGAAAAAAGTACAAAGATAAAAAAAAGATGAAAATTGATTTAGATCGATTTAAAATTTTCAAAAAGATCGATTTAAATCGATTTAAAATCCATTTAAGTTCGTAAATTGTACTTGGTTAATCGATTTGGATCGATTTAAAATCGATTTATATTTGATTTATATTGACCGGAAAAAATTTTTTCATTTGAGTTTTTTCAGTTTCAAAAATTTATTGCATTTTTTTCTTGTCTATCTTTTTTCATTTTTCATCCATAGCGTATTGTTGCATGAAAAGTTCATATAAAAAGACCAAAATATCGATAAAATTCGATGATTATCTTGCATATTTTGAGTTCAAAAACTGTCTTTTTTTACCCTTTTCTGGATTCGTTTCATAAGTTGTTGCTTAAAATATGATTTGTTTTCATGTTTTTCTATGGTTATTTTGCTTAATATTGAGATCACAATTTAATTTTACCTGACTTTTTTCTGGTTTGTTACACAAGATTATGCCCATATTTTGATTTACAATGGTCTTCTACGATTTTATTGCTAAACTTTGAGTTTCAAACCTGATTTATGTGGATCATTTTATTGAATTCTACAACACATGGCACGAGTGTTTGTGTTTAAAAACTCGAGAATAAAAAAAGACAACATTTTTTTAAAGAGTATGTTTTTTTTTCGCCGTGTTTGCAAAAAAATCAGTTTTAGGGGGTCGGAAAATCCATCGAAATTGATTTAAGTCGATTTTTTTTGGACACTTTAATCGATTCAAATTTTTCAAAAAGATTTTTTTATATCGATTTAAAATACATTTAAATTCGTAAATTGTACATGGTTAATCGATTTGGATTATTTTCTTAAGAGTTTTTTACCGTGTTAGCAAAAAAAAATGATTTTAAGGAATCTGAAAACCCATCCAAATCGATTTAAATTGATTTTAAAGAGACCTAAATCGATTCAATTTTTTCAATTAAGATCAATTGGAATCGATTCAAAATAGATTTAAGTGCGTTTCCGATGGATTATAAGGAGAAGGAAAGGATTATAAGGAGAAGGAAAGTTTAGAATCGATTCAAAATAGATTTAAGTGCGTTTCCGATGGATTATGAGAAGAAGGAAAATCCATCCAAATCGACTTAAATCGACTTTTTAGACATTTGAATTGATCCAAAGTTTTCAAAAAAGATCAGTTTAAATCAATATAAAGTCAATTAAAGATCGTGAAACATACATTCCCGCACTGACAAAAATGGATTAAGATCCATTTTAGTATGAAAAATTGATTTAAGTGAGATTTGCAAGAATTTTAGTGAGTCGCAAAATCCATCGAAATCGATTTAAATCGATTTTTTAGACACTTAAATCGATTTGAATTTTTCAAAACTATCGATTTAAATCGATTTAAAATCCTTTTAAGCACGTAAATTGTACATGGTTAATCGATTTGGATCGATTTAAAATCCATTTAAATTCAATTCAAATCAACCGGAAATCATTTCTGTCAGTGCGGGCAACTATTTTTACTTAAGAGTTTTTAACCGTGTTAGCAAAAAAATGAATTTGAGGAGTCTGAAAATCCATCCAAATCGATTTAAATTGATTTTAAAGAGACTCAAATCGATTCCAATTTTTCAAAAAAGATCGATTTGAATCGATTAAAAATGGATTTAAGTGCGTTTCCGATGGATTATAAGAAGAAGGGAAATCCATCCAAATCGACTTAAATCGACTTTTTAGACACTTGAATTGATCCAAAGTTTTCAAAAAAGATCAGTTTAAATCGATATAAAGTCATATAAAGATCGTGAAACATACATTCCCGCACTGACAAAAATGGATTAGAATCGATTTTAGTATGAAAAAAGTACGTTGATTAAATTTAGGTCAGTTTCAGAATGAAAAAAGTACAAAGATAAAAAAAAAGATGAAATTTGATCTGAAATCCCAGCTGAAAAAATTGATCCAAATCAATTTTAAATCAAACTGAAAACTTTTCTTCCAGTCAGAATTTATTTTTTGTTTTAAGGGGATTGAAACGGATTTAAATCGATTTTTTTTCTTTGGAGATTTATCAGTTTCGAATTTTTATTGCATTTATTCATTGCCTATATTTTTTCAACCTACATTCATAGTGTATTATAACATTTAAAAGAACAATAAAAAGACCAAATAAAAATATAAGTTTTGCCCAAAAACTGATTTATCTTCATAATTTTCTATGATTTTATTGCATATTATGGAGATCAAATTTTATTTCTTTTTGACCCTTTATTGTTTGTAAGATAGGATTTTGCAAAATCTGATATACAATAGTTTTTATAATTTCATTGCCTATTTTCGAACTTTAAATTTGATTTATGTGGATCATTTATTGAATTCTATAACATCTGGCACGAGTGTTCATGTTTAAAAAATAGAGAAAAAAAATTCCAACAATTTTTAGAGTGTATGTTTTTTTCGCCGTGTTAGCAAAAAACTTGATTATAGGGAGTCTGAAACTCCATTCATATCGATTTAAATCGATTTTAAAGAGACTTAAATCGATTCAAAATTTTCAAATAAGATCGATTTAAATGTTTTAAAATGGATTTAAGTGAGTTTCCGATGGATTTTAGTGAGTCGGAAAATCCATCCAAATTGATTTAAATCGATTTTTTTGATACTTAAATTGATTTAAAATTTTCAAAAAGATCAATTTAAATCGATTTTAAATCCCTTTAAATTCGTAAAATGTACATTGTTAATCGATTTGATCGATTTAAAATCGATTTATCATCAATTTAAATCGACTCGAAACCATTTTTGTCAGTGCGGGTTGTTAATAGATTTGGATCGATTTAAAATCGGTTTTAAATCAATATAAATCGATCCGAAACCATTTTTGTCAGTGCGGGGACTGCCAAATAACCCAAGTTTTAGTTTTGACAAAGAGCGCGCCAAAAAAAAGGTTTTCTTTCCGGCCTTCAATTCAAAACAGTTTTTTTTATTTATAAATATGATCCCTATGTACACCACTGTGCACATCCCCCCTCCTCAAAACTACTTTAGAATGGCATGGTATTAAAAATGTAGTCCAACCCTTTATAACTCCCCTGCCATCCAATCGACTGCTGAGCGGGATAAAAAAAAGAAGATTGGTATCAAACCTACGGTAAAAGGGTCCATAAATTAGGTTCAGTAAATAAACCTCAAATTCGAAGCAGCAGCGGAGTTAATTCAAATAAACAGCATGTAAACTTGTATTCGGATCACGACAGCAAAATGCAGAGACAAGATATTGTCGTTAAAAATCACGAGGGCAAACTGGTGTTACTTTTCTGGAAAGCAATTTGCGATGAACGTGCGGGATCCTATAAGAAAGTTGTAGTTTTATCATACACTAACAACGGAACAGAGTAATGAAGTCTACAGAGATTTAAGAAAAGGTAATTCAGGAAAAATTTTTCGCGCTATTTGGACCATTAAATATATCGTCAACAGAAATTCCTTTCTATCTAATAAAAAAGGTTGTTATAGCGCTTGCATTTTCATTGAGTGTCTAAAACGGCATTTGTTAATGATAAATGTTTCTCATTCTGCCACAAATTTTTCATGAAACCGATTGCGTTTTTGTTCTGACCTTTGAAAACGGGAACCGAATTTGCACTCGGATATGTTTCATTTTTTTTTGTTATTTTTTTCTCTTTTTTTTTGTTTTCAACGCAAAATAAGGTACCACAAATTTCATCGGACTGGATGGAGTGATATAGTACATTACAACGCTATCAGTCGTGATTTGATTGATCATTCAAAATCGTCGAAAAAATTCCACCAGTGTCGAGAAAAACCGGTTTGAGCTTTTAGGTTTTTCGTCTAATCTCGATCGAGTAAAGCGAGCGAGCATGCTTACATTAGCTGATTTATCCTTATTTGAAGTCGTGTTAGTGTTAATGGAATAAATTAAGTATTATTGGAATAAAATATTTTTTGGAGTTTTTAGCGACATTAAGTTTATGGAAAGAAAAATTGAAAATTAAAAAAAAAGTTTCGTCGCAAATTTATTTTTTACGATCGTTAGTTTTGTTTTTTGAACTGTTTTGAGCTACAAAATGAACTGTTTTACAATTGGTTATTTCACTATGACTGTCGAATATGGCTAAGTTCTAGTTTTCCTTCAGATCCTTTCATCACACCAAGCAGAAAAAAAAATTTTCTTTTCTTAAAGTCCATGGTCGGAATAGTCTGTTCTACTTGTACAGTTACCGGCTATTTTATTCTGCTTGCGCTTTGCTTTAAAGGATCTTTACCGCAATCCCGCAATCTTTTTGGCAAAGTGTCTCTCTGAGGCAAACTTTTCGGCAAACTGCCCACTAAATTGCCAAATAGCAAGAGGACCTTGCGATATCTGCCAACTGTCTCGATTAATGTTGCATGGACAAAGGTACAAATCTAGTTTTGTTTAACCAAGCGAGGGTTTGTTGTAACCTCTTAGATCAAAACTGCGAGGAAACAAGTTAGTCTTATAGGTTCTATACAGACCACGAACAAAGGCTGTGACTTCTCTTTGATTTGTGGCATTAGGTAAGGCATATGTGATCTGAAAAAGCTTGTACCAAATCCACATCATTATGTTGAAGCGGCCGTTATTTCGAAAGCTCAACATATACGATCGATTTTTTTTCCGCATTATGTCCCAACCAAGATGCAAAACAGGCTTCCGAATAAACGGAGGTAATAGATCCGTTTAGCCACTTGATCAAACAAAGTGTTCCGCTGCTCAGGGGCGGTTCTAGGATTTTCTCGAGATGGGGGGGGGGGGATTTTCTAAAAAAAAAAGCAATTAGGTTCGTTTCAAACCTATACTCTAAGAACTTCTAGCTTTTTAATCTGCTGCTCTTGGAGTACAATCAGGTCTAGTTGTATTTTTTCTGATGCGGAGTACTCTGCCTTCTAAGCGTTGTTGAGCAGTCATTTTTGATTGAATTAAGAATTCATTTTCTGTAAGACTTCCGTGAAAGGAATCGGGAAAGTCCGCCCACACTGGGGGTATACTAAGTTTCATATGCGTCCTTTCTTATCATTTATCTGAACTACCTGTAGACTTCTATGAACAGACCTGCAGAGTCTGTCCTGAAAGAAATGCGCAACAATACGACGAAATTTAGGAATGAAAAAGGGGAATTGTTTGTAAATTCAGCTACAACTCACGTGACTTTTCATGCACTAAGGTCAACAGTCTTCATTATTTGTTCCTTCATGCGATATACAGCGTGTCCTAAACGTATTACAATTGATTTTGGAAACCAAACAATCACCAGAGCGATGCACGTCGAGCGCCAACTGCACCTGAAAAGTAGCCAAAGATTTAGAGAATCTCAAATTATTGTTTGCTTGCCAGCAGTTACCAGTTATTTTTACGCTTTAAGACCAAGTTTTTTGGTCGAATACTTCGAGTACCAGCGACTGGCTGGCGTGAAAAAGATTTCAATGGGCGAATTGGACAAAAAGATCTATTCTTTTGGTTTCGATCCAGTATCGCAACAAATATTGAAACATTACAAAGATATTGGCTTCTTAGAGATGCATTCAGTTTCTGTTTACTCCAACAACGCATCAAATATGCATCAAATAGCGGAAAATTCAAAACCAATTCAAAATACCTACTGCTATCTAAAATACGCAACGATTTCTGATTATGTTATTGTGCAAGATTTAGATGAAATTGTTGCCTTTAATAGCAATTTGTACCGTAATCTTCCGCGAGCTCTTTTAGCAGCCAAAGATAAAAAGCATCGTTATTTCAGCTTTAAACTGTACGATCAGTCTATTGCTCGAAAGTGTAACAACTTCACTAAAGATTTCAGAAACACAACCGACTTTCTAATTTCGCGAGCAAATCTGTACTATCGTCGAAACTTGAATCCGGGAAAAACTATCCATTCCAGTCATGTATGTCAGTTACCCGGAAGTTATAGCTGCTTCATCTACCGAAAAGTTCCAGAATTATTTTCCGATGAGAGTATGAGAAAAGAAGAATTCCATAAACTTGTTAGCTGGATGAAAAACAAAGAGGGCGTAAGCTTCTTGAGGAGCCTTCATTTTAGAACTTCTGTTGCTAATAAGTTCTATAACGAAAAGGATGAGCAGGTTAATAAAGATATGTGTTCAAAGAACAACACTATTGAGTTCGATTGGCTCGCCAAACTAACTCCAAAACTAGTGAAAAACACTATGGATACTTTGAAAAAAATTTACGCCAGACAGCAAGACGACTGAGAGAGAGAGAGAGAGAGAGAAAGAGCAAAACAGTTCTTTGTTGCATCAAAAAAGGTAGTTACAGAACCGTGTAATGGAACAAGTGTACAGTTTTAATAAATACAAGAATACAAGAAAAAAAAACGTTTTGTCAGTCACTGAGCACACTAAGCATTGGGGGAAGGGGAAGTTGGGCGTCGGAAAAAAAACTTTGATAGATTTTTCATCCATTTCCGGACTGCTGATATTTTATATTTGCTATGGTGAGTTATATTTTAAGTTTTGTAGGAGTTTGTAAACATAAAAAATACGAATCAAATTTTATTTGCTTTATCTTTGTAACCCATTGGCTAGAAGTAAAATTCTTTGATCAAAACTTCCGAAGGATATTCTTCCACGAACAGAAATCAGACTTAGCTTACTTTTTGTAGTACAAATAATATGGAAGATGACTTAGAGTTCACAAACAAGCAGTTTTTTTTCAGGATAAGTTTAAAGGTTTGCAATCGTATCTAGGTAGTTCAGATTGTAATAAGTTATACCAAGTTCTTGTTAAAATTTCTTGATTTTTTGTTGAAGATTTTGAAGCAATTTATCTTCAGAAAAAATTCTTTTTTTTGTTAAGTTGGTTTTTAATTGAATTAAAATGAAGATATCCTCAGAAACACTTGTGGTGGCTTTGGAGCTCAAATAGTATTCGGATTTTGGGATCAACTTGAACATCTTTAAACAAATTTAAACATACCAAAAAGCTATATGCACAGATTTTGCCAACACTAAAAACAAAACCAGCACCAATTACAAAGACATTGCGTACAAGAAACATTTTTGAACACCAATTTTGAAGAGATTTTTTTTGTGTACTGACGCTACTAAAAAGTCTAAATAGGAAGATTCACATCGTGGTAAAAGACAAAGTTTAACCACAAAAGAACACATCGACGTTGGCAAAGAAGCAACAAATCTCAATATCTTCCATAAAAGCTTCGCGAAGGCCATCGCGGCTTTGGGAATTGCAATTTTGTTTAAAGAAAAACTCAACTCATCGTTCTAATTCTGCAACCGAACAAAAAATGTTCTTTTTTTTACTGAAAAAGCAACTGCATCTTGAACGTCTTGATCCGTTTGTCTACAACTACTCTGAATTAGAGATGTTTTCTGCAACTCTCTACAACTCATCAAGCTAAATCAGTTACATTTCTCGTTAAAAAGTCTCTTAAGTTGATCAAACTTTTTCCTATCAAGAACCATCTCATCTGAATTCGTGGGCATTAAAAAATTTGAGGCACTAACCTTGACACTCAAAGCACTTAGCAGTGCAATAGATTGTCGCCGATGAAGTTCATGCTCTATCCAGTCCGCTGAGTTCTTGACCTTTTTCCTGTCGGCCCCTAAATTTCGAACAATTTTAACGCATTCGCTTAAATAAACAATTGAATCCTTTTCAAACCTATAATCTAAGAACCTCAAGCTTTTTTAATCTGCTGCTCTTGGAGTTAAATCAGGTCTAATTGTAATTTTTCTGATGCGGAGTACTCTGCCTTCTGAAGCGTTGTATAGAAGTAATTTTTGATTGGAATAAGAACTCATTTCCTGTAAGACTTCCGTGAAAGGAATCGGGAAAGTCCGCCCACACTGGGGATATACTGAAGTTCATATGCGTCCTTTCCGGGTTGATCTCCATGACCAAAAGCTAATCATACAATTCCATAAACTAATTTATGAAAAAATACTAATCATACAAATTTCATACATTTTGCCAAAATGGTGTCGTCGAATTTTCTAAAATTTTTTCTCTTGTTTTGAAGCAAAATTCGGTAAATAAAGAAGAAAAATTTTGTCAAAAAAATTCTAATCATACTATTTCCATATATGGAAAATGTATGACTAGCAATTTTTTGATGGCGACGACAAAAAATTTTCAAAGTATTTTTGAAACTTCCCCCAATATTTTTTCTTGAAACTACCCCCAAAAATTTTTTTTCAACCGCAAATTGATTGCATGCATAATTTAATTTTTTTTGTGTATAACGTAGTCCTGGATATAGTAATATTGGATTTTTTTCCTTCTTTCTTAATAACGTTTTCCAAAAACGCTCAAAACTGCTCTTTCTTTGGTATGAAATGTTTTTGTATGCCTTGATCATTGTCTGGAAATTAAAAAATTGAAATTTTAGAAATTTGAAAGTTCATTACTTTCGTTATGCTATTTGTTTGAGACGGTATTAAAACATTTCAGGATGTTTCCCATGCATTTTTAATGCGAGACGGCCAAACTTTTGGTTGCTACGTTTGAGTAAGCAAGTTGTGAGTCCTTTGAGTTCGGTTACGAACACAACCAAAAAAAATTTGAGAAAGTAAAATGTAAAAAAGCAATATATTCGGTTTTAGGAAAAATGCTATTCAAACAGTTTCCATATATGAAAAAATACTAATCATAGACCTTTCATGCTATTTTCTGTACGTATGGAATTGCATGAAAAAGTTGTATGATTAGCATTTTTGGTCAACCAGGGTTTCTTATCATTCATCTGAACTAACTGTAGACTTCTATGAACAGACCTGCAGAGTCTGTCCTGGAAAAAATGCGCAACAATACGAAATTTAGGAAAGAAAAAGGGGAATTAATTGTAATTTGAGCTACAACTCACGTGACTTTTCATGCACTTAGGTCAGCAGTCTTCATTATTTGTTCATTCATGCGATATACAGCGTGTCCTAAACGTATTAAATTTGATTTTGGAAACCAAACAATCACCAAAGCGATGCACGCCGAGCGCCAACTGCATCTGAAAAGAAGCCAAAGACTTAGAGAACCTCAAATTTTTGTTTGGTTGCAGCAGTTACGAGTTATTTTGACGCTTTCAGACCAAATTTTTGAAAATGTGAACCGAATTTGTACTCGGATATGTTTCAATTTTTTTGTAATTTTTTTTCTCTTTTTTGTTTTCGACGCAAAATAAGGTACCACAAATATTCATCGGACTGGATGGAGTCATATATTACATTACAACGCTAGCAGTCGTGATTTGGTTGATTATTCAAAATTGTCGAAAAAATTTCACCAGTGAAAAACCGGTTTGAACTTTTAGGTTTTCGTCTAATGTGGAACGATTAAAGCGAGCGAGCATGCTTACATTAGCTGATTTATCCTTATTTGAAGTCGTGCTAGTGTTCATGGAATAAATTAATTGTTATTGGAATAAAATAATTTTTGGAGTTTTTAGCGACATTAATTTATGAAAAGAAAAATTGAAAATTAAAAAAAAAATTTCGTCGCAAATTTGATTTTTTACGATCGTTTTTTTTTTGTTTTTTGAACTGTTTTGAGCTATAAAATAAACTGTTTTACAATTGGTTATTTCAATATGACTGTCGAATATGCCTAATTTTTAGTTTCCCTTTAGATCCTCTCATCACACCAAGCAGAAAAAAAAACATTTTTCTTTTTTTTAAAGTCCATGGTCGGAACAGTCTGTTCTACTTGGACAGTTACCGGCTATTTTTTTCTGCTTGCGCTTTGTTTCAAAAGACCTTTACCACAATGTTTTTAGCAAACTGTCTCCCTAAACTTTTATATTGCCAAATAGCAAAGAGGACCTTGCGATATCTGCGATTCCAGTTGCATAGACATTTCCCTGTTGTTTCTATTCCTGTTGCATAGACATAAGTACAAATCTAGTTTTGCTTAACCAAGCGAGGGCTTGTCGTAACCTCTTAGATCAAAACTGTGAGGAAACAATAGTTAAACAAGTTAGTCTTATAGGTTCTATGGTAAAATTTAGCAGACCAGAAACAAAGGCTGTGACTTCTCTTTTATTTGTGGCATTAGGTAAGGCCTCTGTGATCTGTAAAAGCTTGTACCAAATCCACGTCATTATGTTGAAGCGGCCGTTATTTCGAAAGCTCAACTTATACGATCGATTTTTTTTCCGCATTATGTCCCAACCAAGATGCAAAACAGGCTTCCGAATAAACGGAGGTAATAGATCCGTTTAGCCACTTAATTGAACAAAGTGTTCCGCTGCTCAGGGGAGGTTCTAGGGTTTTCTCGAGGGGGAGGGGAGGATTTTCTCAAAAAGCAATTAGGTTCGTTTCAAACCTATACTCTAAGAACTTCTAGCTTTTTAATCTGCTGCTCTTGGAGTACAATCAGGTCTAGTTGTATTTTTTCTGATGCGGAGTACTCTGCCTTCTAAGCGTTGTTGAGAAGTTATTTTTGATTGAATTAAGCATTCATTTTCTGTAAGACTTCCGTGAAAGGAATCGTGAAAGTCCGCCCACACTGGGGATATACTAAGTTTCATATGCGTCCTTTCCTATCATTCATCTGAACTACCTGTAGACTTCTATGAACAGACCTGCAGAGTCTGTCCTGAAAGAAATGCGCAACAATACGAAAATTAGGAAAGAAAAAGGGGAATTAATTGTAATTTGAGCTACAACTCACGTGATTTTTCATGCACTAAGGTCAACAGTCATTATATGTTCCTTCATGCGATATACAGCGTGTCCTAAACGTATGACAATTGATTTTGGAAACCAAACAATCACCAGACCGATGCACGTCGAGCGCCAACTGCACCTGAAAAGTAGCCAAAGATTTAGAGAACCTCAAATTTTTGTTTGCTTGCCAGCAGTTACCAGTTATTTTGACGCTTTAAGACCAAGTTTTTTGGTCGAACACTTCGAGTACCAGCGACTGGCTGGCGTGAAAAAATTTCAATAGGCGAAACGGTTATTGCATATAGAAATCAGACGAAACGTACTTTATGTAGTACAAATAATATGGAAGATGACGTACAATTCACAATCGAGCAGTTTTTTGCCAAAATTTGAAAGTTCGTTACTTTCGTTATACTATTTATTTGAGACAGTATTAAAACATTTCAGGATGTTTCCCATGCATTTTTATTGCGAGACGGCCAAACCTTTGGTTGCTACGTTTGATTAACCAAGTTGTGTGTCCTTCGAGTTCGGTTACGAACACAACCAAAGAATTTTGAGAAAGGAAAATGTAAAAAAGCAATATTTTTGGTTTATGGAAAAATGCTTGTCAAACAGTTTCCATATATGAAAAAATACTAATCATAGACCTTTCATGCAATTTTCTGTACCTATGGAATTGCATGAAAAAGTTGTATGATTAGCATTTTTGGTCAACCCTGGTTTCTTATCATTCATCTGAACTACCTGTAGACTTCTATGAACAGACCTGCAGAGTCTGTCCTGGAAGAAATGCGCAACAATACGAAATTTAGGAAAAAAAGGGGAATTAATTGTAATTTGAGCTACAACTCACG